TGAAATGTGGCAAAAGTTCGCAAAGTTCAAGGGGGCCGAATACTTTCACAAGGCACTGTAAGTGCTTTATAGACTACTAGTAAACAATGATGATAATGGCACTGATGATTATATTACAGTTTAAGTAGAGCAGCATATGATCTCTACAAAAGAACAGGATGCATGATTTGTCATTTGTATGTGCGGGATTTATTTCTAGTCCATTTTACTTCTGGATAAGAATTTCTGATCTAAACTTTATAAAAGGCAGCTCTTCTGTAATGATGTGACAGGTTTTTGTAAACTTACTGCACCATTATTGGTAATATTCAGGGTCCTTAAATGTTCCAAAACCCAAATAAATAATGGCTAAATAGAGTTGAAGTCCACAGTGTAACTCGCTGTATGCATGAGATTTCATCAGTATTAAGAATTAATTTAGTGATAGTTGTCAGTACATCCAATAGTACATAATAACAATAAACTTTTAATAGTTAATTCAGTATAATTTAAGTCTAGATAAAGTAGAAAAAAATATGTTTTGAGTTTGTAACATGACAGGAAGATGTGTTATTATTATTAACCACCTAGCCAAATATGAATGATTAAAATGATCAAGTATATAAAATTAGCTTTTGAAATCATGAAAAAAATAAATAAGGAAGACATGGAAACCACACCTGTTCTCATCATGGATGCATTAAGGGAGAACGTGTAGGAGAACAGGTAACAGGAGAACTGGTGCTAATGCACTAGGGCTCTACAGGAGCATTTTAATAAAGACCACTGAATGAGAGTAGAAATATGGTTTTAGTGTTTATGGAGCCGCTTCTCCTTTGTGTCGGTGTTTGAACGAGATCGTGCATGCATGCGCACACACACACACACACACACACACACAACACACCCACACACAAGACAGCTGCTGTTGCAGCAGTGGAGACAGGGAGCCCAGGAGAAGTGAAACCTATGGCTGAAGTTTACAGTTCCTATGCTGGTAACTGTACATATAATAAAACCTTTGTGAGTAAAAAGCCAGTAGGAGTAATTTAACAAAGCACATGCTAAACAAACATAAACTTGCAGAGAAGCAACACTTTCAGTTCCCCAATTTTGTTTAATTTTTACATGAATGATCTGTCTAAAGACTTGAATATGTGCAGAACAGGATGTATGGTCGGTGACCATGTTGTGAATCATTTAATGTATGTAGACGACCTTGTGATTTTTAGTCCCAGCTCAGCAGGTCTTCAGCAGCTCTTGAACGTGCGCTCAGTGTTTGGGGAACGTCACGATGTCAAGTATAATGCTGTCAAAAGTATCATTATGATATGCCGTACAAACGATGACAGGTCCCTTGTATTTCCTTCTTTTAAGTTATCTGATAATATTTTAACTGTGTGCAATGAAGTTAAGTATTTGGGTCATTAATTATTGTTTGTCTGATGACAGGGACATATAATCGGCAGTGCTGCATGTTGTACGTAAAAGCTAATATACTGGCACGGAAATTTGGTGCATGCTCGGTGTGAGTAAAACTGGCATTGTTTAAAGCTTATTGTACTTCCTTGTACACTGCTCATCTGTGGTGTAATTATAAAAAGGGCAGTCTTCGGAAACTGTCAGTGCCCATCTGTGGTGTAATTATAAAAAGGACAGTCTTCGGAAACTGTCAGTGGCTTACAATGACGCCCTAAGGATAATATTGAAAAAGCCTATATGGACGAGTGCTAGTGAATTGTTCGTGTCATCTCGAATTAGTACATTTTCTGCTGTTTTAAGAAACCTGATGTTTAAATTTAATTGTCGCTTGAATGGTTCAAAAAATCCTATCATTTTATTGTTGACTAATGTTGCAAACAGTGACGTGTTTTACTTCTGCTCTCTGGAAACACTGGTATGCCTGTCTTTTAAAGGGGCAGTAGTTTTATGGGTGTTCTTTTGTTCTCGTTTTTATGTATTTTTCTGTTTTTATTGTTTCGTTTTACTGTTCTTTTATTGTTTTTTTTTATTTTTATTATTTGTTTCTGAACCTGAACCTTGAGTCTGTAATAAAGTGTCATTCATTCATTCATTCATTTCAGCTTGGCCCACAGTCTGCAAGCTTGTTAGGCTAACAGCTAATAACTAGCTTAACTGTGGTGCTCTGAAAAGTGCAACAGCTTCATGGTCCACTGTGTTGCCATTGTCTCCTCTCCCTTGTGTCTCTCTCCCTACGGTCAGTTCAAACCTGCTCCACCACATTCACCATTCATGTGTTCATACTTTTGTCACCGTTTAATATTGAGGCAGCAGTATTAATGTTATTTCTTCAAAAAAAAGACTGTTGCCATAAATGTTTGTCTGTGCTTAGTCTCACAAGGGCCCCTAAAACCATTGGACACATGAAGCTTTGTGTTCTGGTTTTTATAACATTACAGTGTTGAGGGGAGGCATTATGTTAAAGATGGCTCCAGTGGGTCATCAAACCATGCTTTCTGCCCTGCCTGAAAAATCCCATTACTCAAAAATGACGATTAACTATTTAACCCTACAATTCAGCACCACATACTGTAGTTCTGTCTTTTCACATTTATTTATGTATAATGTAGGCTAAAAATGGCACCCAAGTTGCAGCCTACATGTAGCACACTGTAACAATGGCCACATTATGTTTGAAATAATTATTTCATAAATTATGATACTAATTATGTTAACACGTGATAATCAACAGGACTGTGGCAATGTACAGACACACATACACACCCCGCAGCGCCTCTGGTAGTAGCACTGTTCACGTTAGCTCAGCTACAACACAGGTATCCACACAGTGACTCTCTCACAAGGACATAAACATGTTTGTAGAAACTGTCTAAGCTCCACCAGACTCCCTGTCTCTCCAGTGAGAAAAGTCCAACAACAGCTTCTGACGCCTGTTAGCCTGCCTCTGTGCTTGCTACACTGAGCAGTACTCAGTGTCCCCCATGGCCCCCCAACCTTGAGCATCTACTCGCTGCTCCTTCATCCCACTGTTGGATTTTTTTATACAGATAGATATACAGATAGAAGAGCCCCTCCTTGAACCGCCACCTTATTGTGGTGGAGGGGTTTGAGTACCCGAGTGATCCTAGGAGCTATGTTGTCAGGGGCTACCCCTGGTAGGGTCTCCCAAAGCAAACAGGTCCTGGGTGACGGGTCGAACTAAGAGTGGTTCAAAAGCCCTTTATGAATAGATAAAAAACAAAGACCGTGACGCTGCCCGGCATGGTGCAGCCGGGGCCCCACCCTGGAGCCAGGCCCGGGGTTGAGGGTCGAATGTGAGCGCCTGGTGGCCGGGCCTCCCCTCACGGGGCCCTGCCGGGCTTAGTCTGAACGAGCGACGTGGGGACGTCCTCCCGTGGGCCCACCACCTGCAGGAGGATCCGTAAGGGGCCGGTGCACAGTGGATAGGGCAGCAGTTGAAGGCAGGGGCCCCGACAACCCAATCTCTGGACACAGAGACTAGCCCTGGGGACATGGAATGTCACCTCGCTGGTGGGGAAGGAGCCCGAGCTCGTGCAGGAGGTTGAGAGATACCGGCTAGATATAGTCGGGCTCGCCTCCACGCACAGCTTGGGCTCTGGAACCTTACTCCTCGAGAGAGGCTGGACTCTCTACTACTCTGGAGTTGCCCGCAGTGAGAGGCGGCGGGCTGGTGTGGGCTTGCTCACAGCTCCCCAGCTCAGCCGCCATGTGTTGGAGTTTACCCCGGTGAACGAGAGGGTCGCTTCCCTGCG